GTTCGGGAGATGCGGCTGTCCACTGAATTCATTCAACTCGTCGTAAAGGGGACTGGCAAGTCCATTACTCGGCTTCCTTTCGCTTAAGTAAAACAAGACGCTGAGCCGGAGAATTTCGGACCTGAAGCTGACGGACACGGTGCACACCGACAGATGAGCGTCACCTAATCACAACATCAACAGTACTACTTACCCCTCGATCTAGCCTCAGGATGGCACACAAGGTTGTACCCCTTCGTATTTTTGTCTTCTCTGCCCTCTTTCTTTCCGACATTCTTCTACCTTCGTTCCTTCATTCGCGCACACCTGCAGTTGGCGAGGGTCGGATCTCCATATATGGATGCAGCTGCGCCATCGTTTGTTTTCTTGCAAGCATTGTGGGAATTATGATGGACCAATGATGAAGGCCTATCGCGAGTGTCATCATATCACACCTGATCCTGGACCGGGATGAGAAACGGCAAAGCATGCGTCTGCGTCTGGAGCCTGGAGTTCTGTCCGTAGAGGTATGAGTGGATCCTAGTGCTGTCACTGCGACCTTGAACTGACGCTGCTAGTATTGGTCTACCCTAATACCTCTCGAGCTATCCAGAACCACCTATAAAGATATGCTACGGGATAGGGCACCGCTACAACCTATTTGACCTGCTAATGGTAGACGTTTGGGCTTCTGTTTTTAGAACCCGGCCCGCGTCCTTCTTTCTCTCCTTTGTGGCTCTGCATTGCAAATAAATTGAGCCAGCAGACGTGACAATTGTTGCATGGCGTTCCCTTTTTATTGTCCAGATATACGTCGACTCCACCCCACCTATGGCCGACCTTGTCATTAGGCTGTCTCGGGGACCAGCGGCGCGATCTCAGACTCTCTTCCTACAGAGGTTCCATAGGATGTGTGGTTGCGAACTGCGCCAGACTTCATGCATGCATCCGATGAAGCGCCCATATGATGCGATAGGATTTCGACTGTACAACTGGTTCGCTTTTCTGATACAGTTGCACACTGTTCATTCTGGGGATATGCCCTGCAACACTCACCGCCTTTCTGTGCTGAGTTGGAACGGAACATCGCTAGGAACAGCCTTCCAAAGACATGGTTATGCGACTTATCCACCCCTCTTTCCTCTTAGAACTCGAAGGTCGTTGGGATCTGCCTAGCACGCTGATTTCGCAAAAATGAAGCTCTCCTACTGGCCTCACCACGGGAAATTACTCGGCCTTTGGCTTTGAAGGACGCCGGTAGTCTGCACTTCAGCTATTGGCCCTGTTCCCCTTATAATATCTTACTGGCCGGAAAACATACCTTCTCACCTGCCTAACAGAACCACCTATCGAGCTGGCTTTTGTTTCTTGGACCGTATACCCTATAAGAAGCCAGCTTCTGCTGTCGGACAGGCCCTCACAGTAAACATCACTCCGAGTCCATTAAACCCCACCCGATGTAACTGTAAGGCGGCATCTCTACGGGAGCGGCCCGGAGAACGCAGTGGCCTTCAGTTAGATTGGTTGTGCGAAGAGCGGGACTTGTTCTCTCCTCAGTGTCCTCCCTACTGCACGGCCGAACTAGCTGGGCGAGTGACCTCCCTGTCTCCTGTGGGTGTATTTCTTACACTGAAAAATTAAATGGAGGGGCCAGGTTCCAATGGACGATTACTTAAACTAACTTTCCGCTTTGGGATGGCATCAAATTGCTTCCATTGACAGCTGTCAGCAAACGTGCCTTTTATGCAAGTGTTGCAGAAAAAGCTAAACGGCAACAACCTGTTGACGATCGAACGTATATATTCAACACAGTTTCCCGAATTGTCCAGCATGAAGGATGGCTTGACACCGCAACGGGGTCGTCGGACCACCAAATGCGAAATAATTCCCGCCTTGCCATCGTTCGAATTAGCATTTAGCCGTCCATCTTTTCCATCAAATCGATGCCGTCTGGGGATGCAAACAACAGGGTGATCTACAGAGCATACTGAACCTTGTTCCGATCCCGCTGTCAAAACCCTATTGCCCCAACGCTATTGGCGAAGATAGTAAATAAGGGCATGAACAGCCACTACTTCCGCATTCGCGGCCTCATCACTGCTGCGCATTGTGATTTATCGATCAGATTGGCGGCAATGAAAGCCCCAGCACGGTGCTCAAGACCGAAGACTCTCAGCTTATACGCAATCCTCAGCTGAAAGTTGAAACAGGGCCGATAGGGCTTTCAGATCGCCGTCCAGATCTTGCAACTTGGCAACCCGATATGCAGGCGATGACCAGATCGAGATGTTCAATTTTGCTTGATTTGTCACGAATATGTGGCCCAATTCGTGCTTATCTCTTCGCATTCGGTGAACGGCGATTTACGTGGCAGCGGCCTGTCCGCCTCATTCGGATTTGAATTAGGAAATGTATTGCCGATCATATCTTACCTCGTCCATTTTGAGCTGCGGCGAGCAAAATTCAGGGATCGGCAATTGCTCGTTCTTGTCAGTTTAATGCTGTCAGTTGACTTTTGACAGCCGCCGGCTAACTGAATTGTAGCTCGATCCCAGCTACCCTAGACTCAAATCTGCGTCCGTGAAGCTGCCACTTTAGCGGGCACGGTCCATATTTGATGGAGACGGCCGCGTGAACAACGACTAACTTCAAGTTCATAACCGACATTATCCGTGGTATCTACTTCGGAGCTAATAGGCACGAAGGCAAAGCTTCAGCAGCTGAGGTATTCCGAGCTCGAAAAAGTTTCAGAGAGTAACGTCAAGGTGGCATACCTCACCGAAGAATCATGATATCCGTATGAAACCCGACGAAACATATTCCATTTCTCACGGAGGCATAATCCCTGGACTTTGGGTCTCCAACAGCAAGGGAAAAAAGAGGGCGGTATGAGCTCGTCCTGCTCGGGATTCGACCACGAGGAACCTAGACTGGCTCTGTCCTTCAGTACCTTCTGCTGATCGCTGCGAATCCCACTGCATTTTCACATCCGTCCCCATACAGACTAGTAGGTTCCGCGAGTTGTTGCTATTCTTCAGCTGTGGTGCAGATGAGGTCTGCGTTGCGTAGCCGTGAAAGAGGGATTATGGTGGAAGGCATCACTCAAGCTGATGGGAATAGGCCCGCAATTCCGTCCCTCCCACAGCTATTCGATTCTTTGACTTACAGTGCTACGAAAGGGCTGCGTCGGGCCAAGGTGTCGATTCCCACCGCCTGTCGCGATAATGGAGTCGATCGCCACTTCCACTAAGCAAAATGGCCACGACTATGCGTTACACGTAACACCTCCAGTATTCAACTCAGTCTCTTTCCATGGCTTTTCTTGAACTGACTGTATGAGGTACCACAAACATTTTGCCCGTCATAGGTAGGCATATGTGTGAAATTGACGCTTTTGTTGGCAAGCGGCACGACTCCTGAACTGACTTCGCGGGTTGGTGCCTGTAGAAATTCTTCATATTCCTACGAAACCATGCTTATCTCAATCCTTGAACGACGGTGCTCACCATCATCACTTGGGGGTTTTCCGCGATGGCACATATGTTCTGGGGCTCACGCTTCACTGAATGGGTTCGGACCCGAGTGGTATACGTGTATGGAAGCCGAAAAGAAGATTTCTAACAGCTCCTTGCTACGGCATTGATAAACAATATTTCAAAGCCACAATTCCGACTTCATGAATCTTTAACCTACAAGCTTATAAACATACGGTACACCTCTTAGGACCAGAACTGTAAAATGGCAAAGCTAAGGCAGAGCGCCACCGAGCCATGTGAAAATCAACTTGAATTCTTCTAGCACGTGCCTCACGTGCCTCACGTGCCTCTTTCTGCACACCAGGTTGTGTCCTTTCCTGTCAAGAATAAGATAATTCCCTCTACCAGGTCTACAACCCCAAGAGAAATAATGGCTTAGAAGGGAAGACTTGCAACTATTTGTAACTCCATTAAGAACTTTTTCAGTCCATAATAGGTGTATTTATGATTTCCGTAATTCCGCACAGGCAATTGATGATTCCGGCACGAAACTGAAAACGGAAGACCAAGGTGGCCTCTGGTCGAATTTATTCGAAAACAGAGAACAACTGCCATGCGTAAAAGATCTGCTGGACGCTGATCACCATACCACGAATTCGACATTTTACTCACATTTGAGAGTGCTGTGACGGCTCATATGCTTGCATAGGTTGGGTGAGTTGCCTTGGGTAGGTTGAACCACTTCGTAGTGAATGATGAACACGTGCGTGGTCAGCAACTCTGTTAGGTCGATTAATCACTAGTGCCCAGAGGACATCTACCAAGGACTTGCTGCCCACCCCTTCCTCCTCCTCCTCCCTCTCCTTCTTCTTCTTTAATCTTTTTCTTTTTATAAAGTTAGCTACCTGGGTAATCAATATAACGATGGATCTTCTCTTGTGCATCACCGTGGCAAGTACAGGGTTTCCGATCTGTAAATGAGGCATGACGGCGAGGGGTGGGAGTGGAAGGGGTACTAATTTGAGGGATTAATCAAGCATCACATACGGGGAATTGGCGCAAGAGGATGGAAGGCAAGAAAGGGGCGAGGGGAAAAGGTTCGAAATATGTAGGATCCTGCAGAATTTTAAGCCTCAAAGGTGTAACAAGTTTTCGCGTCCTCCTGAGGGGAGTAAACTTAGAGACCATCTTTCTCTTCTTTCCTTTGAGCATCAAATCTTAAGACATAAGTCATCTGTTCTAGACAGAGAAGCTGAGTAAATGCCTCAAATTTTTATTCCGCTTCAGGGTTTGAGAACCAAGATAGAGTATACCCATCTTAGTGATTTTTAAGACGGCTATGCTTCATACTTTGAGCTAGGCTTTAAGAAAAGAGGTAGAGCAGAGATAGCAAAGAGTGGACATTTTCAGTGTCATAGAAGTAAAAAGAAGAGAAACTCCGGCCTCGTACAATACTCGTCCTTATACCATAACCACAGCAATATCTACCCCCACCATGGTTTCATAATCTCCTAAACCCATCCACCGCTCTATCAAATATTAGTCTCCCGCTTGGTATAGCTGGTTTATCAAGTTCGGCCGCAATGTATTATGCTACTGAAAGGTCCCTTGTTCGATTCTAGGAGCTGATTTCTTCCTTGTTTGCGGCACCAAACCCTAATATCCTCGTATCCGACTCACTGCTCATCTCATCATTCTCCCAATTCTCTAATGGTGGTGGTAGAGCAGCGGCATAGGACGCTTCCGTATTTGTAATTCTTTTCTCGATATTCATTGTCTACATTATCGGAGAGCGAAGATCGTTCCCCAAAGTCGCACACCATGTACCGTAATGTACAAGCGCAGTACTTCGCGGGGGATATCACCCTTACATATTATTTTCGGGTCGCGAGTTTCTTAGGTAGGATATGTGATTCATGCTCTTCAAAACTTGGCTCTAAGGGGTTGAAATCGAACTCTGGTCTAATGACGAGAGAAATACACTTATTGGAACTGGCGTTTTATACATCCGGGCGCCAGTGCCAGTGCCAGTGTTAAGAGATAAGATTACGCCTGAGCTTTTGCTCGACGCCTACAAAGTATAGCGTACTTCAAAGATGAGTGTTGCTCTCACGATTGAAGATGTAAAGAATGGGGAGACTGAATGAATTCAAGCTTGTATATGCGTGTGGGGACGTTGAATGCATAAGAATAAAGTAGGACTTGGGGTGAGGAGGGTGGGCTCCTAAGTAACGCGGACGAGGTTTGGGGAAGCGGTCTTGGGTTGGGAGAGGTGGTATTGAAGCGTACTTGGGACTGGAAGCGCTTTAGGAGACTTGAAATCTTATTGAAATTTGAATGCTGGCTTCGAAGCATGCGGTTGAGCAGTGAATCTATTCACAATCCTATTTAAGTTTTCTCCAATCACATAGAATTCTCGTCCACTTCTAAGTGAAGCTAATTCCTTAACACCTTCTCCAGCACCTCCACCACCTTCCTGACTTCCTCCTCCGTATTGTAATGCACCATACTGACTCTCACCACCCCCTCCTCCCCGAGTTGCAGCATCTCTGTACACAGCCGATGCGAATAGAAGTGGCCCCACTTCATTCCTATATTTGAGGTCCTCTCCACATCCTCCACTACCTTCTTCGAACTTACGCCTGCAACAGTGAAGCTAATCGTCGGAACCCTCTTCTCACGATCCCCACTCTTCTCACCCCAAACCGTAATCCTCGAATCCGAATTGAGGTAGTCGAGGAGAATTTTCTGCAACTTCTCCTCATGCTCCGCTATGGCGGAAAATGCTGGGTCGGGTTTGGAGCCGCCAAGATAGGACACTATGAGTGGGATGGATTGGACGAGTTCGTAGTTTGAAGCTGCAAGGTCGAGTTTGTCGGATAAAGAGGTGTGTGGATTGAAGTAGTGGCCTAGGGAGGATATGTGGCGTTGCGCAGGTGTGCTGGCGTAGAGAAGGGCGATGTGGGGGCCGTAGACCTAGGATTGGGGTTAACATCAATTGTAGGTGTGGATCAGTTGAGATGCTTGGTAGAGCCTCCTTTTTGGGATGGCAGAGAGAAGAGATGAGAGAGAAGTGCATACCTTGTACCACGAGAAAGCATAAAAGTCTACACCCAATGCTTTCACATCCACCCTCCTATGCGGCGCAAAACTAACCCCATCCACAGCAAAAAGCGCTCCGGCCTCATGCACGACCTCCGAAATACCTCGGACGTCATGGATAGTCCCTAGGATGTTTGAAACATGCGTGCACGCCACGAATTTGGTCTTCTCCGAAATCAGTGGCTTAAGGTTCTCCGCCGTCAACTCGTATTTCGGCCCCTCAGGTACCCACCACTTTACAGATAAGTTGAGACGCTTGGCCATATGGAGCCAGGGGTCAATATTGGCCTCGTGATCTATCTTCGACAAGATAATCTCGTCGCCGGCGTTGAAGTTCAAAGACACAGCAAGGTTTAATAAAAGTTGGGTTGTTGATGCGCCAATCACTATATCACTCTCAGTTAACAAACACCTCTTTGGAATTGGAAATAGAGCCGAGATTTATATCTCGTGGAGAGAAGCAAAATGGAATGCAGTACCGATCTCGTCCTCTTTAGCATTAACGTACTGCGCAGCGGCCTTATAGCCCGAGGCATAGCGCTCGATGGCTTGCTTGCCAATTCGGTAGCTGCCGCCCAGTTGGACGTTGGATTGGTAGAGGTATTTTGATATCCTGCATACAGTTAGAATTTGTATGAAACTTAAATTAAGGTTAGGGGTTTGCATGCGAGTCAATAACATCTCCAAGCACCTGGCTTCCGCCTGCGTTATCTAGGAAGACTTGGTCTTCTTTGAGGGCAGGGAAGCAGTTCCGTGCCGTTGTAATAGAGAATTCTGCAGTCATTGCAATATTTCGAACGCTAGAGTCCTAAGTTCTGGAAGTCGGCTGTTGGTTGAGGTCTGAAGTATAAAGAGATTGATAGCGGAATATATAGTTTAAGGTGTTGTTAGAAGCAAATGAGGGGCTGTCCCAGAACAGGAAGGTCGACTCACTCAGGATACTGGATATATGCTAACCGACAGTTCAACGCGCCCTATTATGTAATGGGACGCCTTAGTGCTGACCAAAGAACGTTATAAATAAGTATACTTAGAATAATAGTAAAAAATGGCTGGAGTCAAGCGGCCCTCATGTAGTTTGTTTCTATGGTCTTAGTCAACTTTCTTAATTGGTAACCCTCACTTCTCTGTCCCCATGGCATATCTCATCTGCGTACCCTCACCGTCCATCACACTCCCTCCAAACACCCGTCTCAAAATCCCTCGTGAGCTTCTGTGCCTTCTCGTCCCCCCACGGTAGCACCTGCGTACCAAAGAAAAGTGCCCTCCGTTTCTCCCGATTAATCGACCACAGCAAATTTGGCAAGCCCATCCACGACAATGTCCCCTTTGGTTTGTAATAGTCGTTTGTCTGAATATCCTCTAACACAATCAAGCCACCAAGTCCATGATTGATCTTTAAACCTTCTAAGGACTCCGGCATCCCGACCATGCTATCGATTGCTCCTTTGCCATTTGCATAAAGGGATTTGAGGGGAGCGCTGCCTTCGGGGAATTGGGGTGCGAAGAGTAGGTCGGCCGTTTCTTTCTGGAGGGTGATGGGATGGTCTTTTAGGAGGTCTGCGAGGACGCGCTTGTAATCGTCAATGGAAGAGACCAGACCCGCACCCCCCGATTCATTGACAGGATCCGTTGGGAAGATGGGTGCGGTTACAGGTTTCAGCGTTCCATCCGAGGACCTCGTCGACATCGCCATCAGCCTCTCTGCGAGATCCAGTCTATCAAGAAGATGCCATGTGGTGGACTTTATCTCGAGAGGCTTGAAAATGTTCTCCTCCACGAACTTTCCGAGCGTAGACTTGTTCAAGCGGCCGATCAGCAACCCAGCCCAATCAAGGCCAGTCCCATATGTCCAGGATTCACCAGCTTCAAAGAGTCGGGGCATCAAATACTCTTCCAGGATGTCTCCAGTAGGAGCAAGTCCTGGAGTCCTGCCCTGACTTCTCCACCAGGAAGCGAGGACTGGGTTCATCATATCATATGCTGCGCCACTGGAATGCGTCAGCAACTGGCGCAGCGTGATGGAGTTCTTCGCAGGTCGGAGAGTGAAAGGTTGAGTGTCGCTTTTTAATTCCGGATCTTCCGGTACGATGATGGGTTGCTGCGCGAGTTCTGGGAGGAGATTATCCAATGGGTCGTCGAGGCCGATTAAGCCGCGCTCGACACATTGGAGGGCTGCAATGGAGGCAATGAGTTTGGTGCAGGAGGCTATGAAAAATATAGAGTCAAAGTCTAAGGGTTTTGCATCTTCCGCGACGCCGCTGAAGCCAGAAACTTTTTTGTAGATGTAGTCTCCTGTGATATTCCCTTGTCAGTGTGTATGTGCGGCTTCAGCTCAAGAGATACTTACCCTTACTATCAATTACCGCTACCGCGGCACCTGGAATACCATTTGAGCCCTTTCTAGTTGCTTCCTCGAGTAAGGTTTCAAATCTCTGCATCTTGCTGGCGTTCCCTCTTCCTTAGAGAGTTAAAATTCGAGCTATATTTGGTGGAAGATCGGATAACTGAAGCAGTGTATATGGAAGATCCACCGGGAAGATACTTGCACTACCGATTCATATACATATGAAGGCCTTGTCCCCGGCGGTTTATTCGTCCGAAGGAATATAGATATTGGTAATGCTCACTCGACTTACTGTCGGCAATTCTTCGGTCAGGATATTCATTTGTTGAATCTGGAGCACGGCCGTGTTGGATTTCCGCACAGGTGCTAGTACCGTGTCCGTCCGCGTGATGCACGCGGAACAACATAACAACTCAACTAAAAATGAGGTTATAGAGCCACCCACAATAGCTATTATCACGAGAATTTGTAGCAGAATACTTATTAAATGCATGCGATTAACTTATGCTACTTGTATTTATCTGGAAGTTTAATGTTGCGGCCATGACGCGTTGTCTTGAGTGGAGCTGCCGATGCAGTCCCTGAGGCTGCCCTACTACCTACCACATTAACCACTTGCTTCTTCTTCTTAGTAGCTGCTCTAGGATGTTTTAAAGTTCCCTTTTTACCCTTTTGGGCTATCTTTTGGCGTTGTTGAAGTAGTTTTGCTGCCTTTT